GGTCCCCCCAAAAAGTGGGTCAAAAAAATTACGGCGTGGGGTTCGGGGCCCGCTTAAGGGCCCCGACAATTTTTTGGATTCTAGATGCTCTGTGGTGCGATCTGAGGCGATTTCTGACCACTTTAACCAATGTTTTTTTGAAGAAAAGATGGTGGTGTACTCATTGTCTTCCTTTATTGCGATGTCACAAAAAAAAAAAAAAAATTGGTTTCGTTTTTTGGGGGGGCCATGGCCCCCTTTGGCCCCCCCCCCCGGATCCGCCCTTGCTCGGAATTGACGGATTTGTTGATTTTGCACGATTTGCCTCGCACAAACCGACAAAAAAATCGTGCAGTCTCTTCCGTATTCGCTTGTAACCATGGAATGTTTGTTTGTGAATCATTACTCTGAGCAGGCTTAGCAAAGACCAGTTTATTGCAATGGTCTAAGTTTGGCGTCTTGATAACAAAGATCGTCTAAGAGCAATAGCCGGTTAAAATCGGACTGGTTTAGCCAGTCGACTATAAAGACCGCGTTATTGCAATTGGTACCACCCGAGGTGGCAAAAGGTTATTGGTGTTAATTTCTTTGTTTTATCACTATTAGTGAATAAATATATCATAGCCTTTCGTAATAAGTAGCTTAATACCTTTTTCTGATGCAGTGAATTGTTTTTGTTATGGTGAAAAAGCCATTTTTGTGATCCGTGGACAGAACTTTAAAACGGTGGTTGTGTTTAAAATTCCGTAACTTGATAAGTGCATGAGTGATTTTAATGATTCTTGTTACTTAAAGAAAGCTTATTAGTTGGGCTTTCCTTTCCTAGATCATGACAGTGCTACATGCAGAACTTTATTAAGAAAATGATCTTGCCATTTTTGTTTTCTTTTTTGTGTGACTCACCCTGTAGGGGCATGTTCAATCCCCAATCAGCTGCTGGCAGGGTTTTAAACAACCAAATTGTACAAGGTAAGTTTAAAAATACAACCTAATCTTGTCTAAGTCAACTTTGGCGAATCAAATTCACATGATTGAGTACGGTAGCCGCCCCTTCTGGAGTTCTGATATACAGTAATGCAAACTGCAGTACGATCATGGAACACGCCCGGCCGCTGCTACCTTGTGATCGGGCCGATCCACACAGTGGCTGATCTAGCGGCCCGCAAGAAAAGACAAAACAATGAAAATGTTGGAGTCTGCATGCACCGTACTTTAGTTTTGGCATTGATAAGCAAAATAGTTACAAGCAGAGAACACCACGGCTCGTTCGTTAGGGGTACTTGTACATGTAAATTATAGTGTTAATAACCGTCGGATTTGAACAGCGCCCCCATTAAGTATGGTACGAGCCCCCTCCCCCTTTATTTATGTTAGGGAGGCCAAGTTTCCGGACAAAAAAAACTGTCTACATTTCATCAATGATTTGCTGATGAAAAAAAATCTCCCTCCCCTGCAAAAGTTCCTGGATCCGCCCCTCGGTATATCTTGCGTCAAATGGAACCTGGCGTTCCGGCTCAATTCCACAGGGTCAAAGTGTTTATTGATCGAGACGGCAGGTGCGGTCATGTGGTTGCTAAGGCAAAGCGTCTGGTGTTGTTAGGCAAAGCTAATCCGATTACGTACTTAGACGCTAGTAGAGCAGTGAAACCCATGCACCCCCCCCCCCAAAAAAAAAAACATGGCCTTTTGAACGTTGTGTTTCTCAGAAAATATACTCAGTGTGATTGAAATGTTAAATTATAACGGAAGACGACTGTGAAAAAAAAAATCTCGGTCATCGATGCCGAAACGTCACTAATACTGGTTACTGGTAAAGCTGACCTTCAAGTCTGGAAGAAAACGTTCGAAAACGTCCCCAAAATGCATGTGTTAACCTCAACTGATTTCTAGGAATCTCTCCAAGTTCTTATTTCACGAGTAGTTCAACACTTATATCATCTAAGAATAGTCCGAATTTCAGCCTACTCTGTTGTTGCAAACGCTAGTATACCAACAAGAACCATCTCCATGGAAAATTTCGACGAGGATTTTCCGCTGAAACAACCGACGTGCATTGTTAAGCAAAGCGCCGTTGGCACTACGGTTGACCGATTTCGGCCAACGTATGGTAGATTAGCATATTCATTAGCGTCACTCGGCGTCATGGGTCTCGGTATCGACCAATATGGAAGCCGGTGTAGCGGAATTTAGGTTTTATGAAATACGGATTCATTGGTGGTATTGCGCATGCTTATGCATAGATAATTAGGAGAGGGACTGGTCAAGTGAGAGGGCCGGTTTAACCAATAAAAGGGGAAAGAGTCCGATTTTCATACGAGTCTGATTTTCATATGACACAGGCAAAAAGGGTGATATTTATCAATTAATAACTGGTGAAGGAGGATTTTCTCCAAATTTTTACTGCACACCAAAATGGATAGGAACCTTATTGTAGCGGCAGTAGTGCTGCCGCTATGATTCGTCAGGCTTGAAAAGATTGACAGATATTGCAAACACTAGTCTACCAACTTTCAAAAGTGCACGTAGCCAGGCGTATTTTTCCAATTTCAACGAAAAGTAATGAACGCATCACAACGATTTTTAGCGCATAATTGGATCACTCATTATGAGGGAAGTAAACCCTGAAAGTTGCATGACGACGGTCTTCCAAACGGAAGAGATAAAGTTTTAAAGATTTCGCCCGCCAACGTGATGTAGTTTTAATCACAATGAAGTGTTACGTAACCTTTAAAAATCGTCTAAGCAACCACATTACTGGGTGAAGGTCCAGTCCTACCGCCTCCAATGACAGGGCCAAATACCGCACGCGATTTTTTTTCATACCACACGCTCTCTAGTATAGATATAGAACTATGCTGGAGGGCGCTATATATGCAGTAATATAATGTTTAAAACAACCACATCGATCAAGTCACTGCTGTAGTGTAGTGGATAGTGGATACTGCAAATCCGGTGGTGCCTACGGAAAAAAATAAGCGCATACCGCACTTCTGGGTGCACGCCTGCAATAAAATTCCCATAGACACTAGTGCTAAATACCCATACTTTAAAATTCATTTTAAAATACTGTGGCGACCCTGACCCGGCGCTATGAAAGTTCCTGGCCTTGGCAGCGAGCGGTCTAACTTAGGCCAAGAGAGCAGATCCGTTTCGGGGAAATCTACCGCCAGGCAATGGGCACAATCACATAAGGGGGAATACAATCAGTTTAAATGACACAGAAACATGCGAGCACTCAAGTCTAATGAATTGGAGGCGTAAATAAATTACCACTGAATGTCACTTTAATCATGAATTCAACTTCACCTATCAATACAATGCAATAACTATTACATTACACAAGAAGAATTCATAAAACCCATGTAACAGGTGTCCCCTTTATCAGGTGCTCCTGCGCCAGGTGCTCCTGCGCCAGGTGCTCCTGCGCCAGGTGCTCCTGCGCCAGGTGCTCCTGCGCCAGGTGCTCCTGCGCCAGGTGCTCCTGCGCCAGGTGCTCCTGCGCCAGGTGCTCCTGCGCCAGGTGCTCCTGCGCCAGGTGCTCCTGCGCCAGGTGCTCCTGCGCCAGGTGCTCCTGCGCCAGGTGCTCCTGCGCCAGGTGCTCCTGCACCAGGTGCTCCTGCATCAGGTGCAACCACCTTAGCAGGTGTCCCCGAACTTTCTGAGATAGCTACCAATCATGCAATGCAATTTCTAGATCTGAGCGGTTAACAGAATCGGTAATCTGCTGAGTGTCATCTTAATTCTTCACTAAACTCTTGGTTCCCTGAACACCTTTGTATACACTTGGTTCTCGAAACATTTCCACTTATAAATAATGAACACTCACCGATTGCCGCTCTTTCCTACAACACGCTCCTCTATGTACTAAGCACTTTCTTCTTCTTTAGCTCTGCACTGACCGGTGCCAACTTCAAGACTGACCCTCTGCCTTGCATGACTCATAACTACCTCCCCTACATCTACACTACTCCCATTGTTCTCCCCCACTACTTGGAAAATGTCTTGCACTAACCACAATTTTTCTGTGCTTATGCTCAGGCACACACAGTGTAACTACAGCCCTTTGAATTCCACTGTGCTTGTGGCCCTATTCAATATTGCATGTATGTACATGTACAAATGTACATGTACAGACCATGTATATGTAGAAGGTCAAATCTGTTTACATTGCACTGAATATCGAAACTGTACATTGCGTTACAATACTCAGAACTCTCACAGGTATTCAAGCTGCACGGAAAAATGATGATCAACATGTTATCCTTCATTTTCTTTCCAATTTTTGGTGGGTTGAACATTGACTTTTTGAGATATTCTCACCCAAAGAAGAACACCCCTACAACGAATGATGTTTCCCAAACTGGAAAAGTAGCCCTTTTGAAAAAGAATCCCTCCACACAACATGGCTAAACAGCGCCACTTTCGGGCCCGATTGCATCCAAAATGCTCAGAATTGGAAGGTGCAGTGCCACATATCTTCAATTCCCCAATTCCATGGTTCCCAGAACTCTCTTATATAGAATATTTTGAGGGTATAACTTTTATTCATGGGCTCGGCGGACGGATTTTTGTCCTACTTTACAGGCGTGCACCCTTCTGTTTACTCTCGTCTCGAGGCCATCGATAATCATACGCGCATGCGCTGTCCATCAGACGGATAGCCCTAGCTGTATGGAACGCCAAAGAGGCATTTAATGTGATCACCGAATCGGTGATGTACATGTACATTCGCAGTCGTTGATGTATATATTCACGAGCGGTGATGGACTTTGCAGTCGGTGATGGACTTTTGCGACCGGTGACCGCAACTTTGACCGCCGATTGCGAAAGACCATCACCGATAGCGAAAGTCCATCACCGGCACCGAGTCCGATTGCAAAGTTGATCACCGCGCCGCTGGTCGTGCAAGTCCATCAGTGATTCACCGATCGCAACAGTCCATCACCGATCGCGATTCGCGAAAGTCCATCAGTTCACCGATCGCAAACTCCATCACCGCTCGTGAATATGCATCACTAATAAAAGTTGATCACCGGTCGCAAAAGTCCATCATCGATCGTGAATATGCATCCGAATGCAAAAGTGGATCACCGATTCGGTGATCACATTAAATGCCTCTTTGGCGTTCCATATACTAAAGACAGTCCTGAGTCGGATCATTTTCATGCCGGTGCCTGGTCAGTAAACCTTGGTCTCCAGATCCTTAGCGGACATATCTGTCTGCCAACATGACGATCACAGACAAAGTCATCTCCGTTTTGGCCAACACCTACTACATATCAACCGTGCCTTTCCTCCTGTGTGCGGTCGTGACTTTCTTGGTCACGACGCTGATATGGCGGCGACTGACGTACTGGAGCAAATACACCTGGCCGCCCGGGCCTCGGGGCTGGCCCTTGATCGGTAATTCACCGCTGATCGCTCCAAACTCTGGACAGACCAATGCCAATATCACCAGGATTGGAAAGCAGTACCATCCAGATATGTTTACGTTGACTTTGTACTTGGGAAAGTAAGTTTATTAGTAGGCTTCTCTACATCCATGTTGTTTCTTACTTGTCATGCTTGTAATACTAGAGTATTAATAATAATAGCATCACGTACAGGCTTTGTTTGAAATTCCATATTTATTACATGCGCGTGTATCAGGTCGTTTCAAGGATAGGATACCGCCATATCTTTCTGATGGGAATCTTTGGGGCATTTCTTTGAACAAAAGCCAATCACGTGCACAGTATAGAATTTGTCATGATGGGACATATTTTCAATGAAATGCCCAACAACGGCGTGACCCTGAAAGATAGCTGAACCCGCGATGGAATGGTCTAGTATACGTGCAGGGGCCAGGGAACCCGCGACGGAATGGTCTAGTATACGTGCAGGGGCCAGGGAACCCGTGACGGAATGGTCTAGTATACGTGCAGGGGCCAGGGAACCCGCGACCGAATGGTCTAGTATACGTGCAGGGGCCGCGCCAGGGTTCAGGTCAAGGGCGTACCCGTGAAGCTGTGATGCCATTTGCATTGTAAAGGTCACGTCATTGTTGTTGGTTTTTTACAATACGTTGATGACGTCGAGTACCACTGTATAGGACGTTGAAAAATGTCTCGTTCAATTTATACTGAAACATTAAAAAATTTGTATAATTGTATCTTTTTAAATGTCGGTGTTATAAGGTTATATTTCTATTGCGCGCCTATTTAATACATGTACTACCATTATTGCATGCCCTCTACCACATCAAGAGTCTATGCACGGATCCTACAATGTACATGTACAAGGCTTAATGACTCCGCCAAAATCCTGGTTATACGGCTCGTACTGGTGGCAAATACCATGAATACATGTCAACAACGACCCCTGCGCGCGGCGGCTTTTAGCCTTTGTTGGGGTTTAGTCAGTATCAAATGAGGGGAATAATGCATGGTCATTGTGATTTTTGGCAAGGTGTGCACCCTTGCAGTTGGAAAATATGTGATAGCATTGCAGCAGTGGCAGCTTTTTGGGTGCTTTCAATTTTTAAGCAAAAAAGGCGGCAAAAACATGCTTTTTACCATATAAAATCATAGAGCAAGGAAAGAAGCATAATAATATTGGCGGCCATTTTGAAAAAAAAATGTAAAAGTGATAACCTTGCCAAAAATCAGTATTAAACATTATAATAATAAATCATGAAATTTTGATACCGGTGTCCCAATTTTTGGACCGAAGCTGATAGCCTACAGTACAGGGTGGTTAAAAAAAAAGGACACCCACATTTGACAGGAATTTTCACCCAATTTTAAAAATTATTTTTAACTGTCGATCAGTAGCTATTAAAGTACTGGCCTTTAAGCAAATGTGACGGAAAAATCGTTGCATTTGCACATTTCGTCGTTTAGCTATGCTAATTTGAACATTTCATGTGCGAAACCTGTTTGTCCATGGAGGTATACATTCCCTTCGCTTGACTGAGCTCAGCTATCGGAGCTTTATTTGAAAGGGCATGACATTTGATTGTTATGTTATGTTATGTAATGTTATGCAACAATGAAATTAAGCCGACAGCTCATGGAGTAGATGCTCTTAACACTGACATGAATAATTGGACAGCTTCAATAAAAGTTACCAGGGCAAAATATATTTTGGTGGGAAGGTTTTGAATTTTTATGAACTACGAAAACGTCCAATTTACATAGAATAACCCGTGGACAAGACTGAGTTTTGGTGACTTGTATTCAATTTCAAATTAGCATAATATCACTATTTTTGCGACTTTTACTTAGCTTTTTTACCATACATGGTTAAAGGCCTATACTTTACTACTGTGTGAAAACAATATTTAAAGTAAGTTCATTAAGTAGGTAAAAATTGCTGTCAAAAGTGGATGTCCATTATTTTTAACCACCCTGTATATAGCTCAGAATAGTCGTTTATCCCTGCGTGTAGCCTGTAGGATCCGTGGTCTATGATTTGCGAGCAGATTCGGCGATTATAAACAAGAATGCGTCTTGACCTCATATTCTTACCATTCAGCGGGCGCCTTGTATCGGGTGTTCCAAACCCGTTGAACATCCCCATAGGGTGGGTAAAATAACCAAGAAATCCCCAATGGCAGGACCAGGTTTTTTTAAATGATACTCTGCATGTAGCACTTTAAAACTCTAGGATAAGAAAGCCCAATTCATAAGCTTTCATTTAGTACAAGATAGAATCATTCAAATCACAAATGTAAAATTTCAAGTTACGGGATTTTAAACAACCAATAAGTTCTGTCCACGGATCACAAAAAAGGTAATTGTTCTTTCAGTAAAACAAAAACAAATCACATAGGGACGTGTGTATTGTTTTTTCGTTTTGCTGAAAGAACAGACACCTTTTATGTGATCCTTGGACATTAAAACTGTGGTTTGGTTTAAAATTCCATAACTTAAAAAACATCAGTGATTTGAATGATTCTTGTACTAAAATATAAAGCCTGTGAATTGGGCATCGATAAACTAATTTTTAAAAGTGCTTCATGCAGAACTTCATCACAAAAATGGTCCTGACATTTGGGTTTCCTTTGTTTTTACTCGCCCGGTATTTATTGGCAGCCACAATGACCATTTAACAACCTGTAGTGCACATTTCTGATCGAAATGACGCCACAATTTCCAAAGACCATAGACCCCAATGATAAATGCCCCCACTTCAGAAATTATGGGAAAATACTCACAGCTCTCCAAGGTGTTCGAGACACACATCATATTAAAGCTTATTACATCATCTTTCATTTTCTTTTCAATTTTTTTGGGGGTAATCTGATGGGTTTTAGGAGAAGTTTCCATCGGAAGATAATCACCCCTAAAAATAGCCCTGAAGCCCGTCGCCATTTTGAAAAACGGTGCCTACACTCCATTGCAAAATAGAGCGCCTTTTGGGTCCCAATTCCATCCAAATTTCATAGAAACTCAAGCTCACAGTCCTGTGCACGGCTTCCACCCTTATTTTTTTCTACACACCTTCAAGTTTACAGTCCACAATATGCTCGAATACTGAAACATCAAGAGGGCATGCAAATCGTCAACCACAGCGTCACTGCGGGTCAGTGCCACGCACACTATCTTGTGCATATAGCGATCTGGTGAAGTTTTGCATAATTGGTGAAACATTCTTTAAAACAATCCTGCATTCACACGCAGTTCCCGATCACTTCCAAAATATAATGGATTTGTACTTGTGCCAAGGACAACCCCTAATAAAAAGAATTTTCAGGAAAATCCGTCCAGAACTTGTTTAGTTAACCTGTTCACAGACAAACACACTAACCAACAAACGCCGGTGAAAACATAACTTCCTTGGCGGAGGTAATCCAGCCGCTGGCCACACGTTGTGTCCTTGGGCAAGCAACTTCATCCCACTTGCCTCTCGCCACCCAGGAGTATAAATGGGTACCGGCATTAGCTGGGGAGTTACCTGCAATTGAATGGCATCCCATCCTGGGGGAATATTCTCAGTCGTTTCATGCTACTGAAACCGGAGATAAACGCCGACCTGATGGACCATATGGGCTCGGAAAAACGAGCTTTACTTTCACTACTGTCCCCTCCTCATTTCCTGTTTCATTGACTAACAGGTTGTGGAGATAACTGGGCAGTGCTGTCGTATAGGATGCAAACAATGTAGTATCCGGCCCCTACTTCTTTGGTTCATTTGTGTACAAAGTCTATGGAAAGTCAAATGCATTTTCAAAGTATTCTCCCAAATTTTTTTTATGGAAATCAATGTTAGGTTTTGCCCTTCATGGACGTATAAGCAATCAGTGTGTGACCGCCAGAAAAAAATCACTCGTGGTGGGACTCGAACCTACGACCTCCTGCTCAGTCTAGTGCAGACGTCTCACCACCGAGCTTGCGGGATGTTTCTCAGTCCTCGATTCATGTCCGTTCAACGCGTTTGCACTAAATAACCGACCTTTGCTAAGATAATAATATAAGAGAAACAAAAGTGGCCCCGCTCATTCGGCCTATAGTGTAGACCAGATTCACGAAAAGACTACCAGTGAATATAATAAGAATCCATCAAATAGAACTGTGTGCTCCATGACAGCATAAATATATAGCCTTGCCTTTTCCTTTTTCTTGGTTTTTTTTTCAGGCGCATGCTCATATTAAACAGCTTCGAATCCATTAAAGACGCCTTCGTGAAGCATTCAGCATTGGTTTCTGACCGTCCTAGTGTGTGGCCATTTACGTATGTCAATGAAAATCAACGGAATGTTGGTAAGTATTTGACATTCACCCAGTCCCCTATATAGCCTCAATCCTGATATAAATTTGCGAATGGGAGCCAAGATTCAAATTTTACCATTTCAGAGCTATCCGTTATTTCTGGTTGTAGGCCTAATGACATTTTCAATTCGCTCAACTGCGCTTGCTTTTGCGTCAACTACAAAGTTGAGCACATAAGCCAATGTTTTAACGACATAAACAATTCTAAATTTAAAACTGTTTTAATGGTAACATTTAGTGTTAAGAGAAATTGTTTACTTTCAACTCAGGTGTCTTCTTGGAGGCTTTCACGGAGAGTTGGAAGAGAGAGAAGAAGTACATGATGCGAACCGTTCGTCAGTTTGGCTACGGTACCTCCGGCTCGGAAAGCATCATTCTCCAAGAAGCTAATCACCTGGCCGAGCTGATCAAGAAGAGAGGCAGGGAGCCATTTGAGCTGGGCCTCCCTCTCAGCCTCTGCCTCCTCAACGTGACCTTCTCCATGATCCTCGGTACCACCTACGAGGAAGATGACAAGGAGTTCTCCAAAATCTTGAGCTATGTCCTGCAATGGTATGTGGAAATCTTCAAACTATACGACGTGGAGCCGATGTTGCCCTTCTATCACAAGTTTGGCCTCAGCCCTCGACTGAACAAGGGAAAGATGATGACAAAGGATCTGCTGACGTTCGTTCACAAGCACATTGACAATCACAAGGCTACCCTGGACCCAGACCATCCTCGCGACATGGTGGACGCGTGTCTGATCGAGATGGCTAAAGGTGACCCCAACAGTGACCTGAGAGAGTTCACCGACGAGAAGTTCTTGTGGATGCTGTTTTTCTTCATCCCGGATCAGGGAGACACGGCCTCGGGTCTATTCCTCTTCCTGATGCTGGCCACTGCCCTTCATCCTGAGGTGCAGCAGCGCGTCTTCCAGGAGATTCAAGACGTCATCGGGGACCGACCGCCTTCGCTGAAGGATAAAGAGAAGATGCCGTACACGGAGGCTGTTATCCTGGAGACCCTTCGCATGGATACCACCTTCTGGCTTCTAATCCCGCACTTTACCGCAGATGATGTTGAGATTCTCGGCTACAAGATTCCAAAGGATACCACGGTCATTCCAAACATCTACGCGGTCCACTTTGATCCGGAGCTGTGGGGTGATCCGGAAAACTTCAGACCTGAGAGGTTTATCGACGAACAAGGGCGCATTAATCGACCAGATTACTTCATTCCCTACTCAACCGGTTAGTAACTTTTGAAAAAACTCTCACAAGATATTATTTTGGTCCCTATCACTAACTCACTTATTGTGACAAAGCTCAGTCGGAAGTTGTAAAGATAATCTCTACCGTATTGGCCAACTGAATTCCAGTCACAGAAAACCTTTAGTTCAGGTTTAATGATGGGAATAATAATAGTCCCGCCCCACAAATTAGTAGACTAAGCAGCGCTTACGTACATCTTTATTTTTCATTTCAAATTTCACACTGCTCTTAATTCGACTTTAATGACACTTATACATGTATACATATTCTGTTTTGCAGGACGCAGGGCGTGTATTGGCGAGCAACTTTCCCAGAAACAGTTCTTCCTGTTCTACATCACATTGATCCAGAAGTACAAGTTCAAGCTCCCAGATGGTGACCCCATCCCCAAGTTGGAATCGCAGTGGTTGTGGGTTAGCCCTCCCGACTATCGTCTGCAAGCGGAGCCCAGGGAGTAAACGAAAAGTAATCGTGGTAAAACTCTCAACACGCTGTTATAAACACTTGCTGTAGCACTAGCACGGCTCTAATTAAATGATTTGAAGACTTACCGGATATGACTGTCGTTGGCGGCGCTGTGCTCAATTCAGTATTTTAGAGCCGTACGGCTCGTAAATTTTCAGGAAGATGGGTGACCCATATACATGAATAAAACGAATAGTTTCGTTGGAATCATTACAAGGTTGCAGGTTCTCGGACTATTTCCTATATACTCAGGGTGAGTAAAAAAAAAAGCGAAACCAAAATGGCGGGACTATTGTTTTAGTGAAGTTCTGCGTCTAGCACTTTATGAAAGCCCAATTCATAAGCTTTCTTTTAGTGCAAGAATCATTCAAATTACTCGTGTACTTTTAAAGTTAAGACATTTTAAACACAACCACCGTTTTAAAGTTCTGTCCACGGATCACAAAAAAAGGTGTGCGTTCTTTCAGCAAAACGAACACAATTCACATACATCCCTAAAGTGACTTGTTTTCGTTTTGCTGAAAGGACACTTAACTTCTTGTGATCCGCGGACAGAACTTTAACACGGTGGTTGTGTTTAAAATTCCGTAACTATACGTGATTTGAATGATTCTTGTAATAAAAGAAAGCTTATGAATTGGGCTTTCATATCCTAGATTTTGAAAGTGCTACATGCAGAGCTTCTCTAAAACAATGGTCCCGATATTTGGGTTTCGCTTTTTTTTACTCACCCTGTATAACAATTCGTCAGTGATACCACGAAGTAGCACTCATGTACATACCAGTAAAAACTAGCAATCGGAGAAAACGGCATCTAAAGTTGAACGCCTTCTAAAACATCACTTTCCTTCAAAACTGCACAGTATTTTCATTTGGGTTCGGTGGACACTATGTATTGAATTTATTAAATCTGCTGTTTTTGACCCGTTTGTATATTACATCAACAAGAAATAAGAGAAAAAAGTGAGACTAGTTCGTGAAACCAAAAAAAGCTGCGAAACTATTAACTTCAGTGCTACATCGTGAAAACGGAGGTCAACGCGCGCGCTCAAACAAGGAGAGTGCTACTTCGTGAAAACGTTTTTGTTCGCATTTGAGCACAGTGCGCGCCATGCATTGCAATGGTTAATGGAACTTGAATACTACTTCGTGAAAAAAAATAATCACTTTCGTGCAAAAGTTGCCATGGATAATTAGCGTAATTATTAAAGTAAAGCTCTTGAAGCTTTGAAACTTCATGGAGTGGTAGGCCTTGATGAATAATGTTTAAAAAATGTAAAAACTGAAAACCGAAAAACAAAATATGGTTTAACACGGGGTCGTGGAAATTGGCAAGTTTTGAAAAAAAACTTATGGTGTTCTAATTTTCACATTTTTTGACTTTTCCTTAATAGGGCCCTCATTTCCTACAGGTGAAAGAAATTACGCTTTAAAAAGTTCCTGGTCTAAAGGCTAATTTTGCAAAGGTGGGATGGTTACACAACAGAAATTCAAATAATAATAATAATTATAATAATAATAATAATCGGCATTTAAGAACGCTCTTTTTAGTAAACTAAATCACAGTGCTTACAGTAGTATTATTACCCCTGATAATTGGGCCAACATTCCAAATATCATCTCAGCTCCCTCGGGAGTATACAGCTCGATGCTGCCTGTTAGGCGCAAGCATTAACCATCTCTGCCCTCACAGGTACCCATTTACACCTGGGTGGAGGGAAGCAATGAGTGACAAAGTGCCTTGCTCAAGGGCACACGCACCATGACCCCGGCTGGACTCGAAGCCACAACCTGCAGCTTTACCCACAGACCACGAATCCAGTGCCCTTAACCACGAGGCCACAGCGCTCCACTATACAGTCGCGCCTCTTGAAAAAAAGGGGGATTTAAATCAGATAATAGTTTTGTTTGTGATAAAGCATTTCATTGGAAACTATCTGGGCTACTTGTGTTTTTTGTTGTTTCCATATTTTTGCAACCTAAAATATAATAAACGATAAGCGGAGTTAAATTAAGCCCTTATATGGCCACTTTTGAAGAATTTAAAAATAAATAAGTTAGTATTGTTCGCTTTTGTTCCATTGTTCTATTAGACCACACACAAAGTCTCCGGTTTCTGATAATTATGGTGCATGCCCCAAAAGTGGTGCGGAAACGCGGCTTTTTTTTTTTTTTTTCCTATTTGTTTTTTCTTCAACTGTCGGCTGATGCTGCAGATGACGCTTCGAACCCCTTAAAAGTCTCAAAAATAACCTTCAGGGTAGAGTTTGACGGGTGACCTCAGTAAGGCCATAAGGCTTGAGAATTCTGCACCCACTTACGATCTCGACATACATGAACATTCTTCAGGAAATTTGGATAGGCAAGAGAAAATCAGAGAAAACGGTAACGTCAGACCATACAGCGACATCGACATCGTGCATGTGCTGCCAGCCTGGTCATTTATCTGCTCCCTTACTTACTGCGCTAATTGAAAAGCGTTTACAGGTTTCAGATGTACCATTGCTCCCTCAGTCTGGCTTCCAGACGCACAATTACAAAATTAAAACACTCGTCTGCAAATGGTTCCCTACTAAATTTAAAGTGCAAAATAAATGGGAGCCCAGAGAGGCCACATAAAGCTTATACTCGATCGTTACTTCATTTAAAACACGTTAAAATTGTGCAACAGCAAGATTCCAGTCAAACCAGTGAGTGTGGCGGTTTAAAGACATCGTCTTACATTGAAAAAAAATCATTTTGCCGACGCGCATGGCTACGACAATGCGTGCGCTGACCAGAAACCGGAGACTTTTTTTTGGCCTTAATTACTTTGTTAATTTTCTTCGTTCAAAATGTTACTTTATGAATCGTGGGTTATTTTGGTTTTTCGGCATTGTTTAATAAATCTGCAAATATGAAACAAGCAAATTTGTTATGCATTAACTGAAACTGTGATTTTTTTTTAACCTGATATTTTTGCTTCAAATGTCTGCTGATGACTGCAAATGGTGGCCGACTAAACTTAGTGGGAGTCCAGAGAAGCTTATTCTCGACCATAACCCAATCTAAAAACACGTTGAAATTATGCAGCAGCAGGATTTCAGTCAAACCAGTGACTTTTTGGGGGGGGGGGCCTTATCCATGGAGCCATGTCTCCGATCCTGCTTAACGTCTGATAATGTCTAAGCATGCAGATACATGCACATGCAAGCCGCACGCCAGCCAATCGGAGTCGACTTTACTAAATCGTGACGTCATGCATTTCATTCCCAAATCAGGACTAATGGTTTGATTGGTCTATTCGAATGCAGTGTTTTGTAATGCAACAACCGGGCGCATATCACGTAACATGATACAGCGCGCGTGACATAGGTTTTTTTTTATCCATGTCTATAATGACGCGCAACGGGTGAATGACCGAAGACCCGACGTACGTGTAGGAAGCGCCTGCTGATTGGTCAAATTCTAGAGGTCAAGATGCGGTTGTCTTGCATAATTAATCAGCGAATTTGTTCAAAATGTATAGTCTATAACATATAGACTTGGGAGGGGGGAATCTAGACTTTACTGTATGGACTTCTGCGTCTAAAACTGTTGTCTTTTGTTTCATGGCACCATCTAAATCCCCCCCCCCCCCGCTAGGTACGCCACTAGATGCAGACCAAAAAAGAACGATAATTCGGCTACTGTGTGACAGTTACAATGTACAACAGATACTCAATCGCTGCGCTCGTCATTCCCCTATCAGGGTTTTAAATAACCAAATTGTCCAAGGTTAGATAACAAAAACTATTCTTCTCTACACAGTCAACAATCAAATTTAAATAATTTAGTCTGATAACCGCGCCTTCTGCCTACAGCAATGCAAAATGCAGTACAATCATGCATGGATATGCTCTACGGTTATCGCGCGGATCCAGTGGCGGGTCTATGGCCCGCCAAAAAGGACAAAACAATGCACATTTTGGACTTAGTACCGTACTCTGACTTCTGCACTGCATGATTAGCTAAATAATGACAAGCACAGAATACCGTGGCACCCTGGGTGTTGAACTGTTAAGGTCACTCCTCGTGAATATGTAAAGTAGCTGGAAATAATATCAACAATGTATGAGCTCAATGAAGGTAAATTAAAATCATCGGAAAAAATGTACTCCTATAACTAAATTAAAATAACCACTTTCACGAATTCTGTATATACAGTGCACGACTTGAGACAGAGGATTGGGGTGACACATCCCAGACGATATTGTTACCTAACACATCCCTGGGCCAAAAAAGAAAATATGCTGGGATTCTAGGAACACAATGACCAACACAAAGGGGTCCTCTCTGTCGCTTATATCTTGCGTAAAATAGAAGCTGGCGTCCTTGGTTCAATTCAAAAGGGTCCAATCTTCATTGATGAGACAGACAATAGTTGAAGGCCCGGCCTCCAATACCCGACTAGACCCGCGTCTGTTTGCTCTCGTCTAGGGCTTATCATGGAGCTGTTTTATAGCTCCATGGGCTTATACTGTCGAGGCCATCGTTAGACGTAACGAGCTGCGCTGACCATCAGTTCGATAGCCGTAGTCGTTTTGGTTATGGAAAGAAAATTGTTGAGGTCAGTATGGTGTTCTATATCTGGCACCTAGCATCTCGCTATAAGGATATCGCATCTCGCTATAAGGATATCGCATCTCGCTATACGCATCTCGCTACACGAATCTCGCATCTGAGGAAGTCGCCAGGGGAGATGCGAGAGGGGAGATCCGTATAGCGAGATTCGTACAGCGAGATGCGAGATTCGTACAGCGGGATGCGAGATGCCAGATATAGAACACCATAGGTCAGCAATCATTAATTCGTTTTGATCAATGCAAACTAGCTCACTACCACAGCTCAATTGATGCCTGGTACCTTGATAGCTCAATTTGTACCTGGTACCTTGATAGCTCAATTTGTACCTGGTACCCTTATCTTGTACCTTGTAGATCAAACTCCCGAACGGTCCACCAGGGACTAAACTGGAGTAAACCAGAGTCGGTATAGATCAGAGATAGATCTGTCTGCCAACATGGCGATCGCGGAAAAAGTCATCTCCGTTTTGACAAACGCCAACTACATTTCTACCGTGCCTTTCCTCCTGTGTGCGGTCGTGACTTTCTTGGTCACGACGCTGATATGGCGGCGACTGACGTACTGGAGCAAATACACCTGGCCGCCCGGGCCTCGGGGCTGGCCCTTGATCGGTAATTCACTGCTGATCGCTCCACACTCTGGACAGACCAATGCAGATTTCACCCGGATTGGAAAGCAGTACCATCCGGACATGTTCACGCTGACTTTGTACTTGGGAAAGTGAGTTTACTCTTTATGCCGATGTCATTTCGGTTCATAAACTGATGGTATCTTTACATTTGGCACACGGGATTTGTCTTGTCCCACTATGGTTGGACATACATTTTATTGTCACAACTTGGTTACTATGATAATTTACTCATCTGAACTTGATTTTGCGGAAAATAGGGAAATTTTGACCATCTTTGCGTTTGTGCAAAAAGGAACCAGACTATTTTTACTTCCAGCCTCGCTTTGGTTACGTGGATTGGAAAAAAAAATAGAGATGGCCGCAACATGATAATGGTCTATATTGTATACGATTCGTGTACGTCATCATAATTTATTTTGCCACTGTGCAAAGACATTTGAATAGTTTTCAATAGACTTTATTCACGAGTCGGCCATATTAAATTGAAAGCGAGGCTTAGAACGCCCGTCAATCATAAAATAGTCTGGCACCATCCCATTCAACAGTGCCCAATTTATTAAATAGATCCAGGAACTCGATAGAAAATAACTTCCTCTTCCTCGGTCTATTGACCTCGGACTGAATGACCAGTGAATTACGTGCCATGCAACTTGTGATAACTGGATTACAACTGTTTGTCTCAGTATATTAACGCCAATGAATGGGCTTATTAATCCGGCCCAATTGTCTGATGCACGAATGACCTCCATAAAAACCACCATTGATTACCATTTTATTTGTATAATGAAGATCAATGATAGCCACTCTGAACCCATCAAATAGAATCGTGTGCGCCCTGGGACCAGCTCAACTATAGCCTTGCTTTTTCCCCTTTTTCAGGCGCATGCTCATATTAAACAGCTTTGAGTCCATTAAAGACGCCTTCGTGAAGCATTCAGCATTGATTTCTGACCGTCCTAGTGTGTGGCCATTTACGTATGTCAACGAAAATCAACGGAATGTTGGTAAGTATTTGACATTCACCTGGGTCCTGTTTAGCCTCAATTCTTCGGAAGTAAATTTGATTTGCGATGAAACTTATTAATGACGTGATTATTGCTTCTCACGATTATGGCATCCGGCACAAATGTATATTGCTTACATACCGTAGAGGTATTTAAGTTTTCATAGGCCTACAGCATAAAGCGGCGCTAGCTTTTGCCAGTGCGTCAACTAAAAAGTTGAACACGACGCCCTATATTATAACATCATATTGTTATGTGGGCCTCTTTTACTTCGGGATACAGTGACTACTCAAAATAAAGTAACTCTGGAAACTAATTCTCATCTCAATCATAATTAATTTTTAGATCGAACAAATCTAACAACGAAATGCAAACATGGTGAGATGTGTCTCAGGTCAGGCTGACGGCCACTGAATTTAAACGACAACGCCACAGCATTAAATAGTCCATTAAACTCTAGTTAATGCAAACTATAAGTCCGCAAGCGTAACAAATTAGTTCCGTAAATTATAGAAACATTTCCAAATTGAGAGATTTTTTATGATAGTGTTAATATTAATACAAGTTGTTTACTTTGTCCTCAGGTGTCTTCTTAGAGGCTTTCACCCAAAGTTGGAAGAGAGAAAAGAAGTACATGATGCGAACCGTTCGTCAGTTTGGATACGGTACCTCCGGCTCGGAAAGCATCATCCTCCAAGAAGCTAATCACCTGGCCGAGCTGATCAAGAAGAGAGGCGGGGAGCCGTTTGACCTCTGCCTCCCTGTCAGCCTCTGCCTCCTCAACGTGACCTTCTCCATGATCATTGGTACCACCTACGAGGAAGATGACAAGGAGTTCTCCAAACTCTTGAACTATTTCCTACAATGGTATTTCGAAGTCTTCAAATTGTACGACGTAGAGCCGCTGTTGCCCTTTTATCACAAGTTCGGCCTCAGCGCTCAATTGAACAAGGGAAAGATGATGACACGGGAAATGTTGACGTTCTTACAGAAGCACATTGACTATCACAAGGCTACCCTGGACCCAGGCCATCCTCGCGACATGGTGGACGCGTGTCTGATCGAGATGGCTAAAGGTGACCCCAACAGTGACCTGAGAGAGTTCACGGACGAGAAGTTCTTGTGGATGCTGTTCTTCTTCATCCCGGACCAGGGAGACACGGCCTCGGGTCTATTCCTCTTCCTGATGCTGGTCACTGCCCTGCATCCTGATGTACAACAGCGCGTCTTCCAGGAGATCCAAGACGTCATCGGGGATCAGCCGCCTTCGCTAAAGGATAAAGAGAAGATGCCGTACACGGAGGCTGTTATCCTGGAGACCCTTCGCATGGATACCACCTTCCCGCTTCTTATCCAGCACGTCACCGCAGACGATGTTGAGATTTTCGGCTACAAGATTCCCAAAGATACCACGGTCGTCCCGAACATCTACGCGGTCCACTTTGATCCGGAGCTGTGGGGTGATCCGGAAAACTTCCGACCTGAGAGGTTTATCGACGAACAAGGCCGCATCAATCGACCAGATCACTTCATTCCCTACTCAACCGGTTGGTAATTTTTGAAAACTGTCACAAGACATTATTTTGAATCCCAGCACTTACTCACTTATTTAAACAAAAGCTCAATTAAAAATGGCAAACATAGTCTTAAAAGAAACGGTATGCATACATAAATAGGCACTTTTTCACATCCTAACCGTTTGATGTGAGTCCCAGTCACAGATAACATTTTAGTTCTGAGACTCGGGTATTAAGATAGATTGGTCCACCTCGCAGCAAATTAAGCAAAGTAGTCTGACTACTTCATTTTTCCCCTTCAATTAGACCAACGCTGCTCTTACGTTGGCTTGAATAACAATCATATTCATTATTATTGTATTTACAGGACGAAGGGTGTGCGTCGGGCAGCAACTTTCCCAGAACCAGTTCTTCCTGTTCTACATCACATTGATCCAGAAGTACAAGTTCAAGCTCCCAGATGGTGACCCCATACCCAAGTTGGAATCGCAGTGGTTTTGGGGGGTCATTCCTCGGGACTTTCGTCTGCAAGCGGAGCCGAGGCAGTAAACGAAACGCAATGGTCGCAACGCGCTGTACATGTATACATTACCAGGTGGTCCAAAAAACGGAACGACCTATACTGCCACTATCAAATGAGACTCAAACCGCCTTTACCAATATTGAAGGAGAATCCTCTTTTTTATTAGAAGAATTACGATACCAAAATCTCCCGATTTGGTCCACTGTAGTTTGTGCTGCAGAGCCGAAGCACACTTCTTTCACGCGGTTATAATTACATAACAATCCCTCTATCAATAACAATGTACCGTAAGTCGAATTCCCTGGCGTTGTTTAGTAATTCATCGGGACAAAAGTGACCCGGCACCTTGCTTCACAAAAAAAGGCTCTAGAACAAAAACTATACTGGACTGAATATGGCAATCTTGGTTTTATTTTGCTTGTAAAAAGATTATCCACGCGTTGGTATATGTGGGTGGGTTGGTTTTTTTTGGACCACCCTGTATTAATTTTACCTTACATTAGCTATGGTGTTTTAGCATGGGGGAATTGTGGAATGAGTAATATTAATAGAATTGTTGCCCTTCAAAAAAAAAGCTCTGAGAATAATTAACCGTACTGACTTTCGGGCCCACAGCAATCCTTTATTGTATAAACACAAAACACTAAAGTCCAATGATATTTACCTTCTACAGCTTGGGACCTCCATGTACCAGCTTCCAACAATAACCTGCCTAACACTACCTGTTCAATGTTTTGTAAAAATCAGGATGTTCGCCCGTCATTTTAGTAGGCGTTATCATGACATTCACCAGACCTGGGCTCGTACAACTTTAACTCAAAAAACTGTTAAACCTGAAGGCCCCAAGCTGTGGAATTCTCTCAATCCGTCTCTTAAAAAGGTGTCAAATGTATCATTGTTCAAACGCAATATAAAACCCAATTAATTAACAAATATGTGGTAGAATAATCTCATTTTGTAAGACCAAATAATTTTAGTTTTATTTTGTATTACTAGCTCTGTACCAATAGTTATTATTATTCTCCAAGACAAAATTCGTTTTCGGAACTGTTTAGAAAACTGTAAACATATATGAACTTCATTTGTCAATACATGAATGCACAATCCACTGAAGATGTAATTTTTTTTAGTCACGTGACGGGTCACGTGACGTCACTTGAAAGTCTAATAGATTTAATCTTTGAAATTCCATATAAAATCAACCGTGACGGATCGGAACTTGAATTTTGCGGGAATCGACATGATAATACATGCTCTTCATTTTATCTTGTGCGCGTAAAATCACGTGACCCTTCCTTCCGGTCGAAACCGGAAGTGCGTAATAATTTAAAAGTGGAAAAAGATATGAACTTGCTTTTAACGATTGAAGTGTCTGCCTGGATTGACCTTTCAAAAAAAATAATGGGTGACGCCATGAAGTGTTGGAGCGCCCCCTAGCGGCAGGTTAAAAAACGTCAAAAACGTATTTTCAATTGATATCTGTGGCGAAGTTTGCGATAATCGCTTCAGAATTAATGTACATGATGACCATAATGCAGACAACACCTGTGCACGAAAAAAAATTGATTACGTCATCAGACCGGAAGTTACAAGAAAAAGACCTTTAAATCTTAAAAAAATTGCTAGAAAATATACCGTGATAGATAAAATCAAGATTTGGCTGTATACAGCACAGTAAATATAGCTCTGGAGGTTTCTGGTAATGACGTCATAATGACGTCATCAAGTGTCATATTACAAGCAATAAATATTTCCATATTTAATCTTTGAAAATCAATAAAAAATCAACTGCTACAGATTTGATTTTGTTTTTTAGGCAATCGATAAAATATTGCAGGGTCTTCATTTTTGGTTTTAATTTCTAAAATCACGTGACCCTTCCTTCCGGTGAAAACCGGAAGTGTTTAATTAATTGAAATTGGCAGAAGATGCGAACTTGCTTTCAACGATTCGAGTGTCTGCCTCATGGAGAACTTTGCCACCCATATGTGCAGAAAATCAAAGCCCTGCATGCTCTGCGGTCACACACAACGGTGCATTGACCCGGCGACCTGCACAGCCCCATTGCGTTGACCGGACTATACATAAACAGCAGGTCGATCCTCGCAACAAAAGCGATGTCTGATTTGACAAGAAAAGTGCCCCTTGTTCTTCTCAACCAATCAAAACGGTTGTTACATGAATGGAAAGCATATTGTGTTATCTTTCGGAAACCGTGCGAGGTAATTGTATGTGACTGAGTTCACACGTGTGCTGTTCGAAGAAGTAAACCCGCACCCTCAAAAATCGGGGAAATGTGCCGTGACCTCCATAGGAAACGCGAAATTTTCACTGAGTTACCTGTTTTTCAATGAAAAAGTGCACATAATTATTCGCCTTTAACCATGAAGAAATTATATTCATTTGAAAGAGGAAAACCTATATTTTATGATGCGATGCGAGGAAGTAAGTTTAACCAACATACTTTCCGCGTATTAACGAAAGTTTGCTGAGAGCGCCTAGATATGAGCCAGTCTTCCCACGTAAACAGAGCTGCACTAGTGGCGAGTGAGCAAATGCTCCCTAGTTCTCCATATAAGCAGTACTGTACAACAATTTTACAGGTGACGTCATCAAATGTTAGAGCGCCCTCTGGCGGCATGTTGAAAAGTCAAACATGGATTTAAACATGCATATTTTGAGTTGATGCGTGTGGCAAAGTATCAGTTTTATGAATGACACGTTAGGAGATAACATACAGAGACTCATCGCTTATTGCGCCCCGCGTATGGTATTTTCACACCATCAACGGATTCTTGCTCATTGTGAACTATCATATCACTTCCTATGAATTCACTTGTTCACGTTGACTATACAGGGTGAGTAAGAAAACGAAACCCAAATGACAGGACCAATTTTTGAATGAAATTTTGCCTGTAGCACTTTCAAAATCTCGATTATGAAAGCCCAATCAATGCGCTTTCTTTTAGTCCAACAATAATTCAAATCACTCATATACTGTTCAAGTTACAGAATTTTGAACACGAACGCCCTTATATAAATTTAAAGTTCTGTCCACGGATCACAAAAAAAGGTAAGTGTTCTTTCAGCAAAACGAAAACAATTCACATGCATCCCTATAAGAATTGTTTTCGTTTTGCTGAAAGAACACTTACTTTTTTGTGATCCGTGGACAGAACTTTAAAACTGTGGTTGTGTTCAAAATTCCGTAACTTGAAAAGTACATAAGTGATTTGTATTATTCTTGTACTAAAAGAAAGCTTAATGACTAGGCGTTCATATCCGGGTAAAAAGTGCTACAGGTAAAAATTGGTCCTGCCATTTGGGTTTCATTTTTTTTTACTCACCCAGTATGATGCATATATGCACTTCCAAAAATGCACTTCCAAAACGCTACCTTCGACTTTTTCCATCGTCTATTTGACATGCAAATTTCAAGTTGTTCAACCTTTTAGTTTCAGATCTTTTCCATTTTGGATTAGTGGTTGTCTCTGCAACGTCGTGCACCTAACATTGCAAAGTAGCGTACAGCTTCAAGGGAATTTATCGACGTGCGTTGTTATTTGGCAATCGAATCGACCTTTGAACACCGAAGAACACACTGAATTTCTGCACTTGTTACGAGAAAGATGGCAATCGAGCACGGTCAAAAGAAGGGTAATTTTTTTACGCATTTCTGTTTGACATATATTACGTAATAATGTCGAGGGCGCCCTCTACACATGCCACAAGGTGCTTCATTGGGTGGACGGGAATGTCTGATTTAGCTTCACAATTTCTGGGTCGTGTTTCAAAACATCTTATGATACATTTTTGTATCCATGTTTTTGGGTCAATTTGTATACACAAATAACTACAACACTACAAGGCTGTTAACCGAATGCACTTTCTGAACTATTAAACTGTGAACACCATTAATTTTCTGTACATAAAATCTATATTGTATTGTTATTTTCACGGCTGCGATTCAAAGCCACATCATACCACTGACAGATGGCAGGTTGATATTTTTACGACGTTATTGTGCTTGTGATTTTTTTATAACCATGGATTTAGTTGAGCTTTTCTCAAGCTATACCGAAGTATTTCCTTTTTGACATGTCTGGTTATTGGTGCAAGGAGAATTGCTTTCTACCTTGTTCACACACCGGGAAATTTAGTGATTAATGATCCTGAAACCACACTGCGTGCAGCAATGCCGCTCCAATTGTAACTCCACTTTTATTTAGTACGCGTTACCCCACCCACGGTTAGTTGAGGATTAAGGGGGAAAATACCCCCATCTTCCGGCTTATGACAACGAATAGTTGATATGATTTATTGAGCCGAAATGGCATACAGCATGAAGGTAGAATAAAACAACGATCTTGCACCTTTTTAAAACTGGTGCAAATCCACAATGGGGAAAGTACACCCCAGAGTTTATGAACCCATCAACTTGTGAACACCTGTTAAAACATTTCACTTACAGGTCTACATGTCTCATTTACACCATTTTGTACACGGACCAAAAGTGTTGAACACTGGTAGATTTTGGTTCAGCAGATATTTTTGTCTGCTGCATGGTTTGCATAAGTATATGAAATAACACAGACAAAGCACTTGCAACACGATCCGTTAGAATATTCAGGGGCGGATCTAGCTCTCAGGGAACGGGGGGGGGTGATATAAGGGGTGGGTCATAGGCTATAAGGCACACCCTGCTGAGGGGTTCGGGAAAATCCCCCCCCCCCGGAAAATTATTTTTAAATCTACCATGCCTTCTCTTGCATTCTAAGGCAGTTAGAGAACAAATTTAGGAAATTTAGCATATTTTTCTTTGAGCCCCCGGTGAGGACCCATAGAAGATACAGGATAGAAGTTATCATCTGGTCGCTGGGAAAACAAAATTCTGGCAATTATTTTTCTTTCAAAACCCGTATTAATTTATATTCATGCATGGGAATTCCCTCGGGTTTTGTCAGCCGTTCGTTTTTGACGTGCAGGTTTGACCCAAAAAAAACACCGAGTGGTTTTTTTCTCACGTGCCAAAATTGATTGCGAACTTGCCAAACATGCTCAGTATAATATCGCAGTGTCCGTACACGACGACGCGAGAGATACAACCACACCGGATCAGTCTCCTCCATCTACGCCGGTCGTTTCCCGGTTACTTTATCGTGGGGTCATTCTGAACGAGCGCCACATTCAACAGGAGTTGTGAATTGCTTGTTTTTTTCTTTCTCTCCGATTCTCCCACGTCGAAAAAAAAAGATACGAGGGGCAAAAATGGCATCCACTTGTAAGGGAGGCTGTTGGATATTTACCGTGGGCGACACGCAATTGATCCTCATCCGTCTTTTTCCTCCCCCTTTTTTTTTGGGGGGGGGGAGGGTTGAGATAAATAAAGCTTATCAGTTAGAGCGCAACACGACCCCGACTGGCCGGGGCCGAGACCTCCACCGGTTGACGCGGCCGTGTTGCGCCCCGTCTAGCCGGTCGACCACGCCATCAGCACATGATTTCTTCGTTGTGTGGTTTGAATTTGGATAACCACTGTTCCCTTTTCCCCAGGTTTCTGACAAATTGGTGCTTCTTTCCTGTACAGTACACAGACCTGGAAAGAATGATGGCATAATTATCATGTTATCGTTCAATTTTATTCCGTCAAGCTTTTGAACTGTTGGACGATTGCAAGGTTCTTTTTTGTTACTACAAAATGTTGGCCTTTTTACAGCAGCGATATGTTCATCGAACTATCTTGCGAGTTTAGTGGCTACAGTTCATCAATTTTTGTTTTAACTTATTGGACACTTGCCAACACCGAAAATACAAATCAAGCAAAACCTGTCAGCAAAGATGTGCCTTTTTAGCTTTGGGTTGCGTTAAACATTTTCCAAGGAAGACTCTGTTTGGTGTTTACTATGCTTATTTTCCAAATTACTCGCTACCCAAAATACTCCATAAAAAGATTCAGTACGGGCCCAGAGAGACGGTGATGTCGCTTTAAGGCGAAGTGTCATCGACGATGTGTACCAACGATACGGTAAAACAATGGTAACGTGTAGGTTGTTCTCGTTAGGCCCAACACCTACTATTATTCTATGAGTTCACTTTTCTTGTTAGGTGTTGGG